CAATAACTTACCTCGTGCTAGAAATTGTTCATACGTAGAACATGCTCTTGCGTATTGAATCAACTGAGAGATACAAACCCCATATGCAGGTGATGAGGTTATATTGCTGCATAAGTAAGGGACGATTGAATAGTTAAAGTCATCACGTTTATCATAAAGCTTTTTTGTTAGATTACCATTAACTTCTTTTTCTAGTAAAATATCCAAATATAAAACAGATGTGTCACACTCTCTGGTATCTTTTATTTCAAGCTCACTGGGATATATCGTGTCGACATATGAATGGAAATAACTATTGTTAATTGATAATATGTCGTCGATATATATTAATGTCGAGTTGAAGGCCACAGTTTTCTTTTTCTCCTATATAAGATTTTGAATAAATTCTGCTTCATGTGAATACAAAAACAGGTCTGCTAATAACGGGATGCAATTGATACCCATGGGGATTCCAACAGATTGCTGGAAGACCTGGTCTCCAAAGCTACACAGATATTGTCAATCAGAAACTCAAGCATCTTTTTAATATCAACTTCAGAGTACTTGTTTGTACAATCAGAATGTTTTTTAACAAAATAACTTTGCAAATGACCAATGACAAGGTAAGTAAATTTACAAGTTCATATATTTTTATTGAAAAAGCAGCTGTCAATAATGTCAAAAAGCTTTAATTTATTGTGGGGACTTTCATTTATCTTGGGGAATGATTGTATATAGATTTAAGTATCCACATCTGATTTACACCACTTCTCGAATATATTATTGCACAGTATTCCGAAAGTTTCTCCTTCACTGTTGTTAATATATTAGTGAGGAGTAAAGAAAGAGGCTTGGTAGAACATTTACTGGAACCCACAATGTATCTTTGTTTGTAAGGACTTTAATGAAGTTTCAGAATCCAATATAAAAATGGTAATTCAAATTCATGTTGGTTGTTGGGAATATTGAAAATATTCAAAGCTGACATAATGGTAATGAAGAAATTCCTTGTTAGAAAGCTATGGAGCTTTGGGTATAAGTTGGATTATCACTTGTAGTATTAAATCCCAGTTCCTCTAAAATACAATTAAAATCATGAGCCTTACAAAGAAAGACAGTGTTGTTACCTGCTTTATTAGCTGGGGCCATTAATACTGATCATGTAGTCTATCTAATTCTTTTTTGACTTCTAAATTGTTGAACAAAGAAGGATAGATGATTTTCATATTGCCCTTATCGCTTAATACGAGATTTTAACATACATCTGATACAATTAATCTATTTTGACAAGGTGTCAAATCTTCTTTTTCATGTCTGACCCATCGCCTGGTGTCATAAACCATCATAAACCATCGTCGATATATCGAAATTTCAAAATGAAGACCACAGGAAGAGGAGTTTTCTTCCTATGTAATTTTTTAAAATAATTTCTTCTTCATAAGAATATTAAACAGTTTAGCTAAGAAAGGAGCACAATTGCTACCCATCGATTCCAACAGATTTTGAAAGAAGGTCTTCAAAGACTGACTACATAATCTTTCTTAATATAAACTTCAGAGTACTTGTGTGCAGTATCAGAATGATATTGAACAAATTACCCGTAATTATGTAGATGACGAGTCACAAGATATTTAAATATGCGAATTCCATTTTTATTGCAGAAGCAATTACCAATTACATCAAAAACACTTATTTGTTATTTTTGCCTTATAACTGAGAATTTTTGCAAAAAAGTGTTGAAAAGTTTTAATGTTAATAATTTTGCAATAATAATAATATGTAATAATAATAATAATAATAATAATAATAATAATAATAATAATAATTTTTCAAAAAGTTCTTGGGAGTTTTTGCGAATCCACGTCTGATTCTTAAAACTTCCTAAATATATTGTAGCATAAGACGTCTATTAAAAGAATTAATGAAATAGCTACCCAATTTATACTGTTTAGCCTTGATTTGGACAATTTATGCACTATATAAACCGCGAAGCAGTTTGTATGAAGCGTAAACTGCTCCAAACCTGATTATGAAGTACAGATTGGGTAGCTATTAGATTCAGTCCTTATAATCTAATTTTCTTTCACTTAGAGTATAAGAAATAAAGAGCGTTTCCCTCCCTCGAGGAATGTACAACATTTAAGGCAAACTTTTTTCTGGTTTCTGACTAAATGAAATATTCGAAGTATATTTGCTTTAAAGGTGCTTAGACACAGATTTGAAGTTAATATTTTCTCAAAATTTATGTATAATATCACGACCTATATATTGCAGTAGCATTTCACACCAAAATATAATTAAAAACTTATTTTATCTGGAAATTATTGGAATTACGAATTCCTGGACGCGTTTGATTCACACATCCTTGCACTTTCACAAATTTTATCTTTATCCTTAATATTTAAGAAAAGAAGCGATTTTGTTTTGTATTAATGAAAAACATTACATCTATAATCCAGAAAATTCAGAGTAGAAATGTGCGAAGCAAACCCCCTCATTACACAGGTAAAATTGCAACGTATGTTCAACATATGTTTCGAAAAACATATGTTGAACATACGTTAAACATATGTTGACCATATGAATTTTCGACAGTATGTTGAACATATGTTTAAAATATATGTTGAACATATGTTTCAATTATATGTTGAACACATAGCAGACTCAAAACATATGTTGAACATATGTTTGTGGTAACTATATGTTTAACATATGTAGAACATATTTTAAACATATGTTTGTTTCAAACATATGTTCAACATATGTTTTAAGTTTCACATAAAATTCATACTGAACATCATATAATAATCAATCGCCTTTTCACATTTATTTCATTTAATATTAAATTAATGTTATCGTTACATTGTATTTGAATTAATTTTATTCAAATTTAACGAGATAAAAAAAAATGTTGATTAATTTAATGTTAATCAGTGAACCAACAATAATTTAATATTAAGCGTAATGTAAAAAACACGAGTTAAATTTTAATGTGTCAGGGGCGGGTCCAACAAATTTTGAAGGGGGGGGGGTTCTAGGTCGGTGCCCCCAACACATATGCATAGAATCGCACCATAGGCACTTCAAGCCCGTACCAACCCCCGGACTCACCCCCCCCCCCCCCCGCATCTGGATCCGCCAATGCAAATAGACTGCATGTTAATTTCAATAGACAAGTATCAAGATCAATTTGAATACATTTGTTAAAAAGAATGGTCATTTCTTGTAGAAGCTTACATAAAAGGGGGAGGGGTTAACTACTCTGTTACCCTGCACCCCCTCCCCCACTCGTTTCTTCAAATTCAGCCCCCTCTTTTCTTCAAATTCAAAATTGTCTTCTTGAACATGGTATTCCCCAAATCAAGAATTAATAAATTCGTACTTTACCCCGTTTTGTTTGGATTTATTTTATGAGTAAAATTAAAATCATTCGACATCTTATTTCCGGACCGGTTTTGGTTTTTATCGGATGAAAGTGTACTACGTCATTTTTGACGTCACTGCTACAGCAGAAGTGTTGGGTGTAAGAAACAAGTAAGTGCTATAAGTATGTTTTTAGAATTTAGTTTATGGTGTTTTAAGAGAATTTCTTAAGTTTACAGTTACAGATTCATACGAACTTCTAGTACTCTCGTGACTTGCATAGCATCTAACTGTAGTTGTAATTAATGCAGTTCGTAAAAAAACGATACACCTAATGATCTTATCTAGGCCTACATGCTACATTATTTTGGATTTGTTTTCGACGAATGTAAAAATTATTTAGCATTGCTAATTTTTCAGATTTGTTTTCCTTTTGTCGACAGTTACGTTTGTATGATCTTGATGAAAGTGAGAGTAGAAATCTTGCATTGCAGTTTGTGCGTAGCCTATGTTAGATGGTTAAATCCACTCGACTCTTTTATCAAATTATTAATGGAAAATGTTTGGGTTTTAGAACCTAAAGCTGTTAAGACTGACGATTCAACCCAAAACTGATTTGACTGAAGATTGCACAATCACAATATACAGGTGAAAATAAATACATATAACAATCACATTAATTACAGGGTGCATATACCCCGGTAAGTAAAGACTCTTTAATAACAAAATATTTTTTGAGAAATTTCTTTTTGCTTCTTAATTCTACACTGTTTTGCTTTATCAAAAAATTAAAACTATAGAATATCTGAAAGATGCTCAATTTCAGCCTAATCTGTCATTGAAGATAATAGTGTAAATGTACTTAAAATGCATCAGCTAATTTATTACTTATTTATATATTAATTAACATAGAATTTTTTTTCAACACTAGCGAAAGTAGAGACTTGTACTCACTCTCTTTCGAAGTTTCTTTTAAGTTTTGATTGGAATTTGATTAGAAAATATTTACTGTATTTATTTTGTAATTTTTATAGGTTCAATATACAGTCTCTCTGCTATGAATAACATGGAAGAACACCACGACTCTAGGCTTGCTTCAGAATAGGTAAGTACACCCTGTATTACAGGCTTTGTTATTTTCTTCCTAACAAAGTTTTTGGATATACTGGAAACAAAATGTCTATTTCTCTGCCTGTATTTTTATGATATCCAAACATACATTTGTATCTGATTATCCATTTAATATAATATATCATATTATTTCAACATTCCAAATTCATTTGTATACATTTAGAGAAACTAATTGTATTTTTTATGATTTTATTATTAAGCATATCTTTCAAGAGTGAAATTGTCTTGGACATAACATTATATGGTGTTACACAACACCATATAATGTGTTATGAAATTAGTTTTAACTCATATCATAACTGATAACTGTTTAGGAGAATGGGGTATGCATTTGTTTGCACATGCATATGACAAATATCTTCAGTGTATGAACTTAAATTACATGTAGACTTTAATTTGTACATGTATTTCAGAAAACCTGTGTTAATTAACAGAACCTTAAAATTGGAGACTCCACTGAAGTGCCACCCAGTACCTTAAAATTTGACAATTTCAAATCCTATGATAAGGTTCCAAGGGGTTGTAAAATGGAAGAAAACAAAGAACAGGCCAAGAAAAAAATTGTAAGTGCTCAAAGTAATTACTCTTTGTGCTAACTAATACTGGTATATATTTATTAATTATACATGAAATTGACATCATGAAATTTGGACGTCTTAATTTTTATTATTTTTTCTTGATCATTTCAGAAGCAATGCAGTTACTGTCAGGATAATAAAGCCAGAATTATGTAAAAATTTGAAAAAATAAACTCAAGATTAATGCTTGAGATTGTGTTCTTTGATTTCTTATTATTAAGTGATGAAAGGAAAAGAGTACTATTTAGTTAAGTTTGCAATCCAAAGAAATATCAAATAATTAAATAATAAATGTAAGTAAGAAATAAAATTAACATATGTTTAACATATGAAAACCATATGAACACAAACATATGTTAACCATATGTTCATACAAAACATATAAGCAACATATGTGATCAACATATGTTCATAAACATATGTAAAACATATGTTGCTCGTTTTTTATGGCGAACATATGTTTCAGAACATATGTTCAATGTATGTTCAACATATGTTAAACATACGTTGCAATTTTTCCTGTGTAATATCGTCAGCCCGTGCTCAGTGTTGTGTACAGAGTTTAACAAATTGAATACACCCGTGAAACGTAAACTGTTTCTGTAAACAGGGCACGAGCTCTGTTATTGTTAATGTTTACGATTCACTGGGTGTGTTCAATTGTTAAAGTCTGCACACACCACTGGACACGGACTGACAATACTGTGAGTGGGTTTTGCTTTCAAACATTTTTTACTCTGAATTTTCTGGATTATAGTTTTAATATTTTTCATTTATACACAACAAAACTGCCACTTTTCTTAAGTATTAAGAATAAAATAAAATTTGTGAAAGTGCAAGGATGTGTCAATCAAACGCGTCCAGAAATTTGAAGTTTCAATAACTTCGAGATGAAATAAGATTTTTATTATATTTTAGTATGAAATGCTATAGCAACATATAAGTCATGAAGTTATACTGAAAATCTGAGAAAATATTAACTTCAAATCTGTGTCCAAGCACCTTTAATGTCTTTTATATTTCGATGTTCTGGGTTTAAAGGGATTTTTTTCTTCTCATAATTGTGCAATTTTTTAATGGGTAGCTAATAAATTCTTTACTTATAATTTAATTTTCTTTCATTTCATAAAGCACTTACCCTAAAAAATGACTTCAAATGTACAACATTTGAAGACAGACTCTTGTCTGGTTTCTGACTAAATGAAATGTTCAAAGTGTATTATTTTGCTTTAATCTAAATGTCTTTTATATTTAGATGTTATGGGTTAAAATATCATATTTATCTTTCCTTTTAATAATTCTCCAATTTCAATTAGATATTAGTATACTGAGTTTGAGATCTAACATGGATTATATTTTGATGGAACGTCGGAGTATAAAAATATCACTTTTCTGCTTCTCAGAATTTACTACAAAGTAATGAATTTATTTAACAATTTTAAACAATCAAAGGCTTACAGGATTATTCCGAAGTAATTCAAATTAATAATTATGGACTAAAACTTTAAAATAAATAAAATAAATACTTGGTATGATTTTTCAAACAAACTACAATTTTTGAAAACTTCAAATCTAAGAACAGAATTAAGTAAAAAAAAAAAAAAAAAGTCAGTAAAACGTATTTCTTTTTATAAAAAAAAAATTTTTACCATCTGTTAAAAATTGTTAAATAAAACCTTTTTTTTTTGTTTTTTTTTTTTTTGTTTTTTTTTTTTTTGTTTTTTGTTTTTGTTTTTTTTCTTTCTTTTTTTTATTGTATCCTGTTATTTATATGATTACTTTACGATATGGTAAAAGAAGAAAAAAAATAAATATACGATGCATATAAAATTAATTAATACGATATATTTTTGTATAACTATGTATTTTTTTTTCATCGTTATGTTTAATTATTTACTGCAGTTACATGTATGGTAAAATAAATTATAAATATTGAGACGATCATTCTGTAATGGTGTCAAACAATCTTGATTACATTCAGTAATTGCCTGGAAGATTGACTGATTGATTGTTGTTTTACGCCCCATTCGAGGATTTTTCACTCAAATAGAGATGTCACAATTAACCGGTGAAGGGCTTCAGATTTAGACCTTTACTCGACACTCAGGGCCATTGAGCGCTTAGAGATTTTTATCCTGCCGTGACACGGGGCCTCTGGTATTAAGGTCTCATCTGTTCACTTCAAACTTTCAAGCGCTTGGCGAAGGAACATTTGCTACCTGAGCTATCCCAACGGTTCTGCTTGGAAAAAAAAACATCATATACTGGATAATGGATTCCAATAACTATTTCATCCTGTGTATTATAAAAGAACCTTGTTTTTGATAGAGAAAAAAGTTAAGTTTCATCAATAGGAAAATATGCATGTCTTGATATACCGGTATTTCAGATGTAATCTGATACAATCTTTTTGTTCATGAGAATTAATTATTTGGTTAGCCTTAATTAAACTCTGGAAAAAAATGAGAATAAAAAAATACAAGTGAAAGGTTATGAATTGCATAGAATATTTTTTTTTGTTTTGTTTTGTTTTATTGGTTTTATTTTGTTCTCTTTAAAACAAAGGGAGTATGGAATTATGTAAAAAGATTTTGCAAGGAATTCACAAAATAAAGAATATGTGGACAAGAAAGTAGAAAAATTATGTTCAAATCCAAGCATTAAATTTAAAAAAAAAAAGTACTATACTATAAACACTTTGATTGTGACTGGAATCTGCCTGAATACGAGGATTATTATTGATCCTCAAAGCTATATCTACTTTATACTTATCTAGTTCAAGATCAAAGTTTCATTTTATCAGGATCACTTATGGTTGCTTACTTTGTGAGTACACTGATCCCATTGTTGTTTGATTCAGACGTAATAAATATGTCATTAAAGGGCCATATAAAAGAAAAGTCGCAATAACTTCCTGTCATTCAATTCACACACTATAAAAATGTCATTAGTTGATGGTCATTGGAAGATAAGCACACTATAAATTGTGTGTTTAGAAACTGCAACACATGTCATGGATTAATAATTATCAATATGAGCCTATCATTTTACAGAAAGTAGAACTAAAAGGTATAAAATATAAAAGTCAAAGGTTCTGTCATTAAGAAGGATATTGATTTTTTTTTCTCTTTTTCCCCTTTCCTTTTTTAAAGGAACTGTGTTTTTTCATTATCCGTCATATATATATTTTCTATGAACCGAATTTATTTTTAATTTTTGGCTTCTTCTGCTGTTTCGTTTTTAACTAGGAACCAATTCTTTCCCGGCTTTACGCTATAAAACTCTGAAATAAGTAAAAAGAATATTTTACTCGTGCATAGAGTTTAGCAAAAATATATCTTTCATAATGAATAGAGAGTCCTTGGAAATGGAATTGCTCGTCAGCATTCAATTACATTTTATTTTAATAAATCATAAAAGAAACATATAGGTCTTCTTCATTAGAAAAAAATCTGCTGAATCTTATGAGATAACTTATGGTACAAACAAATTATGCAACAAAGATGAAAGCACAATAGGCTATAGCTATGGTACAAATGCCAAATCGATTCAAATATCGAATATCAACACATCATCGCATAGTAAATAGAAATGGTCCATATCATTAAAGATGCATGCAGCTATATTTATTGTAAAACTGCAATATCGAAAAAGGTTCAGACATTTCTCCCGGAATTCTGCTCTTGACATACTGGGCTGTCCAGGAGGTAAAAAAGTTGTTCATATTAATTCCTGGAAATTCTATTACTAAAATAATATCAATATCGCCCAACGGTCTCGCATGAAAATTCAATGATACCAACGGAGGGAAATTACCTCACGATACCATATTCAATACATTTTGTTCTTGTGAAATATGACTCTAAATCTATCTTGTGCAAAATAATTAATGCCTTTATCTGTTTAAACTTCAAGTGTCAATGTCGTCCTAGAATTCAATATCTTGATTCCATGTACAATAAAGTGTTGTTAAGAGCTAGATATTAAAAAAGGATTTTTAAAAAAAAGCAGCACATACTATTGATATAAAATACCCTGGTCGTAAAATGGTGTCTTATTTGGCGAAATCGCAGTTGCATATAGTAAAATGTATCATCCATAGACATGATACCACAACAGGCCCACAACGCTCACCTGAGTCATCTTGGTCCTCTTGTTTCTCATCAGATTTTGAAAAAAAAAATTGTCCCTAGGCCTCTTTTTCATCAAAAGAGTTTGAGCACATGTAGTGGCCTCATTCGAGCCTTATAGGGTCAAGACATAACCGAAGATGAATCCACACAACATTAGAATGATTCAATACCAAAATGGCTAAGGTGACTCTAGTCCTCTTGAGAACAAGATTTTTAAAAAAAAATTCTTTTTTATACGTACATTTCTAGTGTGTAAAATTGAGTCCTGAATTCAGTTCCATTGTAAAAACAAGGTTTTATTATTTGAAAAATAAATAAATACACACAGCGTGTGAATGCATTTAAATATTTGGCTAAATGTGGTCCTGTTGTTCGTTTAAAGATTTTATTTTATTAATTTCCTTCAACGTCAGACTCTCATCCTATATTGTATCCCGCCTTACCTCTTTAGGGGGGCTATAATGTGAACAAACTTAAATTTTCATTAGTTGAGAATGCTTTCCTATCAATGTGACTTATTGCCGCCCTTAATTGTGATCTTGAAAAAAAGTTTGAAAAGATGTTTACCTATATATTTCCATGTGAAACGTTTGTTGTCCCACCTTACACCTGGGGCCATGGTTTTAACAAACTTGATTCTGCATTAAGAATGCACGCATATAAATATGACTTATCATGGTTCAGCTGTTCTTGAGAATATATTACAAAGATTTCTTTTTCAATATTATACCCATGTAAAACTTTGATCCGACACATCATATCCCCATGAATAAACTTTAATCTATATTATGTTAGGAGGCTTTTACATTAATTTCCTTTTTTCTAGCCCAGTAATTTTTGAAATTATGCTTTTATTTTATTATCT